TCTTAGGGCGCGCGCTTCGCGCCTGCCCCGAGCGCTCGGCGCCAGAGGAGGAGGAGCGCGGAGGAGGGCAGGCGGAGCCGTCGGTTGAGTTAGACCTCTTAGGCAAGAGGACTTCCCTCCAAAGGGGAAGCCTCGCTCAGAGCCAGCGCCGAAGGGAGGGAAAGGCGCTCTAGACATGCCCAGAGGAAGTCGTAGACGCCGTTTGCGCGCGCGTGGAAAAACGAAGGTGGCAGAGTCCTGGGGAAGTGTCTGTTCCCCACCCCAAGCTACCCCACCCCACCCCACCCCAGCCGAGCGAGGCGAGGCGAGTCAGCGTTTCCCCTCCGCTCCCTCCTATACAGCTGGAGTTTAGCTTGCCAATCCTAAAGACGCGGGTCAATAGCGAAATTGAGCCTCCCCAAAGACGGAAGTATAGACTTGTAGCTGCATTGTTCTGGAGGGGAAAAGGGCCACATTTTGTGCCAGGAATCCCTTTCCAGACCTTGCTCCCAGGTCAGGGAGAGCTGCAATCGCTGGGGATGATGGGCGTTGCTGCCCCAACCACTTGGCCATGGCCAAGAACACCTTGGACACTGATAAGATACAGCCAGGTGGTTGGTCTTCTGGTTCTTTTTGTATTTTTTGGTCACAGCTACAGCTGTGGCCGGTGACTGCTGTGGCTTCAGAGATGTGGGCAGCTGAGTGGCACAGCCAGTTCGTTCTGTTTACCAAGTGACACCAGGCATGGTGAGTCCAGTCCTGCCAACCTCAAGATTAGACTCTGGCAGTGTAGTTTAGGTGAAGTTGCCATTAAAGGCCATCTGGAAATGACAACACGAAATGTTTTTGGTTTGCGGGTTACGCTGGCACTTAAAATACCCCTTAGGCATCCTTCAAGAAAGGTAACATACATGTTCCCGACAGTCACCCCATCTTGCCTCTCCCAACCTCACCCAGGAACCAACTCACTTTTTTTCATGTGTCTGAAACCAGGAGAAAAAAAATGTTCCTGCTGACGAAGGAGTTGTTCAGATAACCAGGATTTCTAATCAGCTTCCCTCATGGTAGTCGGATGGTGTTAGAGTGAATGCCT